ACATTTTTAATTTAAATATTTTGGTTATGGAAAAACTGACCTTCAAATCAAATGAAATTTGATTTCATGATATTATATTTTTCTATTCTAGGAATTCCCCTTTGTTCTCTTTTACAATTTTCTCACTTTCCTTAAACTCTCTGATATTCATACTTCATATGTATTTTTATGGTCATTCTTTAATATAACATTTGCTGTTTTACTGGGTTTAGGATTCATTTCAACATCTGTTTATTTAGTCTCCTATAATACTTTTCTACCATGGGTCACATTTTTCCTATGTATTCATTTATCCAATAATTTGAGTTATAAATGAACTCGGAAGCTGATCATGATGCAGGGGAATGGAGCCATATTTTATTCAGAGGCCAATCATTTTTTGTGACACAATTGTTGATTTTTAGAAAGAAATAGATATCCAGGGCCAGGGATTTAGCTCATTGGTTCTACTGCCTGCCTTGCAAGCACAAGGTCCTGAGTTTGATCTCTGGTACCAAGAAAAAAAAAAAAAAAGAAATAGATATCCAAAATGCATAAACATTTCTTATAAATTTAAGAAAAAGTAAAATCTAGAAAAATGGAAAAATGGGAAAGGGATTTTTTTGAAGGGTGATTCATTTGCAACTGCTGAGTACTACAGAGGAATTCTGACGGATCTTCAGGATTAGAAACACAAACGCACAGATCCCGCTTTGCTGCTTTTTTAGTACACAGCACCATCCGTACCTTCATTTATGGACTTATATCTATAGTAGCCTGAGTATACAACGGAAACGTACGGAAAATATGTAATATTCTTAACTTTGGGGGTCTGAAAACACTTTCTAAACTGCAGATTTTTTTTTCTTTTTTTTGAAAGAAGATTTAATCGATAACACGGGAGGACGTTATGTTAAGTAAAAAATCTAGGCACAGAAATGCAAACATTGCCGGATCGCACTTGTACGTGGAATTTAAAAAGCAAAATTAATAGAAGCAGAGAGCACAGGCTTGATCTACCAGAGACTGAGAGTGAGTCGGGGAAGCAGAGGAAGGTATTACCGAAGGGTGCATGTTTCCGTGAGGACGGGTAACTTCTAGTGATCTATCCCAGAACACTGTGGCCATGGTAAATAACAAAAAATTCTACATTCCGCATTTGCCGAAAATACAGTAGCACCTTGGTTTGGGAACGCTTCTGTTGGCAAACTGCACTGGATGACGAAAACAAACACAGTCAACCCCATAATCGTGTGATGAATTAAGATACCGAACGGTGTACCTCTGTATTTTCGAGACATTTTCACCTCCCCCCCCACACAAAAAGGTAAGTAAATGAGATGATGGGTTGACTTGGTTTATGCATTCCATGGTATAAATTATTATGATTTTTTTTTACTATGCACAGGTCATCATTTTCTTATGAAGGTTTGCTTTTAGGCACTTTAAAAATAGGCTCATTTTCGTTTTACATTTAGTACCGTATTATACTCAATCATCCCTACTTACCTTCAGAATGTGGTGTTCCTTGGGTTTCAGTAGAAACCTGTGATTTTTTTTTTTCTGTTGCAATAACTTGAAAAATAAATAATTTGAACTCTGTCCTTCAAAGCCAAGCCATTTCCGAAATTGTTTCTAAGCAATTACAGTCTTTAGCTGGAATGTTTCTCCACTACCCTGGGAATATGGCCCCTATATGAAAGTCTAGGAGTCACCCAATGATGGCAGTGCAGGAATAGATTTTTAATTGTTACTATTTCACCTCCTTGCTTTTGAAGCTCCCACACTATCTTAAATTTTAACCACTTTGGCAGCTGAAAACTCTAAACTCTGAAAACTAAACTTTTGATCTAAAGAAAGATGAGAAGCAATAGTTTTATTTTATGTGCTCTTGTTCTTTTACATTTTCTTCTAAAAATTGCCTTCTGGAGATATATTTAACTATAAATCTGTATATATTTAATGTACAGAAATTCATGACTTTGGAGAAAAGTATAAACCCATGAAATCATCATTAAATCTAGTCTACAAACACACCCACCACTTTCTGAGTTTCCTGTTTCCCTCCCACCCCCTTCCTCCCTTTCTTCCTGAGTATGGGATTGTTGACTATAAACAATGATTTGTATAGTAGATCTCTGGAATCACTCACTTGAAAAACTAAATGTCCTTATGCTTTGAACAGTACCTTCACATTTCTCTCTCCTTTCAAAACTTAGCAGTTGATCATTTTCATCTCTGATCCCATGAATCTGACAAATTTAGAGTCCTACTGTAAGTGATACCATGTAATATTTTCCTATCATTTCTGGCTTATTTCAGTTACCTAATATTGTCTGGGCTTAACCATGTATCACAAATTACAGGGTTTCTTTTATTTACAAGACTGAATAATGGCCCATTGAATGTATTTAATAAATTTTTATCCATCTGGGAATTAATGAACATGTAGTTTGTTTCTGTGTCTTGACTACTATGAGTAATGCTACAAAGGCTATGGGAGAAAAGACCACTATTCAAAATTCTAATATCAACTCCTTTGTAAATATATCCAGAAGCTGGACTACTATGGTAGTTCGATCCTATGGTAGTTGTATTATTGATTTTTTTTGTAAGCCTACATTTAGTTTCCTTGGTGATAACACACAGTTATATTCCCCTCAATAGTGCAAAAGAATTCCTACTTCTCTACACCCGTGCTTGTTATCTTTGGAAGATTTGATTATATCCATGCTAAACAGGTTTGCTATGATATTTAATTATGGCTTAATTTACATTTCCCGTTCAGAGATGTTGTGCATGTTTGCATATATATGGTGTACATTTATCATCCTAGAAAAGTGTCTATTTAAATCCTTTCTTGATTTGGGGTAATTTTTTTTTTTGCTATTAAGGTATATTCTTAGTTAATTTGTTCTTTATATATTTTGAATATTAAGTCTATAATATATGGTTTACAAATATTTTTCCATTCTGTAGTTTACCCAGTCATTTGGTTTTTGACTTTTCAACACTGTGCAGAAAATTTTTAGTTTGATGAATTTTTACTTCTCTATTTTTACTTGTGTTGTTTTGCTTTTTTCTTTCTTTTGCTGGTATAACCAAAAAATTCTTCCTAAGGCCCACATCAAAAAGTATTTTCCCCATGATTTCTTCTGAGATTTTATAGTTTCAGGTTTTACATTTAAATCATGTAAAGGTACAAGATCCCAATGGTGAATGTAACTCTACTGTCTACCTTAAATGTGCCAATAAACTTAATGACATTTTGAGTTAACTGGTCTAAATTATATATGATGGAGTTTCTATTTAATTGTCTTATATGGGTGGTGGCTTTTATGACATTTGTTTATGGCGATATCCTTTTTCTAATGCATAATCTTGGCACCCTTGCTGAAGATCAGTTAACCATATTGCTTGGCCTTAGTTCTGGGATCCTAAGTTTATCCCATTGAGCTCTACAGGTTTCTATGTTAATACGATTATGTGCTAATGAATGTAATTTTGTAATGTCATTTTAATTTTTTTCTTCTTAACATTTTATTTGCCGTCTTCTTTGATTACATATGATTTACTGATATTGTGTCTCAGTTTTCAAACTGCTGTTGGGCATTTGATATTGATTGCGTTGAATCTGGAAATCTCTTCCGGCAGGCTCTTTGGACACTTTAACAGTACCAATTTTTTCAATCCATAAATATTCGACACCTTTCATTGTTTTACTTGCATCCTTTCCTGAGCACTTGATTCCTCCTGCCTGCTGTGCCATGAATACTTTTCTCTCTGCTATGGTCGTATGCCATGCTGTACTACCTTGGAGATAGTGGACTATGACCTGAATCCTTGACAGACTGCGAGCTAAAATAGACCTTTCCTCCTTTAGCCTGTGCACATGTTGATTTTGTTGTCATTGTTGTTGTTGTTCCAGCAGTGAGAAAAGTAACTGAGAAAGCTTTGTTTTCAGAGAAGTGGAATCATGGCTGTGACCACCTGAAAGTGTGGCAGCTCCTTTGGAACTGGCTTGGGGAAGGATTTGGAAAGCTTTGTATGTTGATTGTAGAAGCAGCCCTAGGATTCTGGGAGCTGAGCTTCACAGCAGGTTCTGGTCAGAGATCAGAAGAGCAGAATGCTGATGGAAATATACCCCCAAAGACCAGGTTTGGGAGGTTTCTGTTGGGAAGAAGGATTCCAGGTAGCTGGACTCCAGGCAATGTGTGGTACGCTCCAGTCAAAATTTTTTCTGTGTTTTTCTCATGGCCAATGATGTTGTGGAAGACCAAGATTAGGGGCAACAGGACAATTGACCTGGCAGAAAGAAATATTAAGGACAGAAATTTCAAGTCTAATTTTGAGCTGGTGGCATGGATACTGATGGGGCCTTCTGGACAAGTTACCTCAACAATCAATAGCAAATGGCTGAGAAGAATGATTTAAAAATTTTTGAGTTTGCCAAGAAAGGAAGCTCCAGTAAATCCGTGGCTTGAAAAGGTGGAACAAAGGAGCTGAAAAGAAGCGCTTGCTGAAAAGATTAGCTTTAGCAGCTGAGCACTTTGGAGCTGGAGAATAAAAAAGATGGCACGAGAGCATCACCAGACAGGGGAACTCTACCATTTGCAGCCTCAAAATTGCAAAGCTGAAAAAAATTTGCTCTAAGAAGAGAGCTCCAGGTCACCATGCTCCAGGATGGTGGTGGCCTAGGGAATTTGTTTCTCTGGATGGGAGTCACAGCACTCAGCGATCCAGGCACTCGACCTCCTCTGGCCAAGAGAGAAGGAAGCCTGACTACTGCTCCAGCTGGCAGCAGAGCTTGCCGCCTTCCACGTGGCATTTGTTTTAGGTGTGTGCAGGACGTAAGAGTTGTGGGGCCAGCAGGTTTTAGATGAAGGCCTGGGAGGCCAAGCAGTGTGGCCCTGTGAGAGTGAAGCCAGAAGTACAAACACCAGGAAATCAAAGAAGCCGGGGATGTGAATCACTTGAGGATAGCAACAAGCAGCGGGCAAATCCTGCCCAAGAGACAGGCCATGAGGACTACAACCACCACAGCCACTGGCAGTGCTGCAGGCGAGGAGCCATCCAACCCTTTGGAATTCGTGTCTTCACTGATCAGCCCAGTGCTGGACACGGAAGTATGGGGTTGAGGGCTTGCCCTGCTTAGTGTCGGTCCTGTTCCTTTCTATTTCTCCATTTGTACCCTGTGGAATGGGAATATTTTGTGTGTTGGAAATGTTCACAACTGTGCTGAGTTTTCTGATGTAAAACATCAACATTAAATTCTAATATTTTCCCACTGTTGTTTGATTAATAATGATAGATAAACTGTTTTGCCTTTTAGAACCTCAGTTAGTTCATTTGTTTCCAGGATATGTATTCTTACTGGGGAAAATGTAACCCACAGGGGTCAATTGTTTCTTACATTGCCAAAAGAAATCTCATTATTTTCTGTATAAACACAGATGTACATATGGTATATAAGCTTATATATTGTAAATATGTGGTTTTAAAATATCAAAGGGAAACAATTAGAAAGTGTATCTAAATGCCTCCTTAGGAAGGAGATAAAGAAGTAAACAGTTGAGAAATACTCTTCTAAATAGTACACACGATCTCTTCTATCTCCTATGATTTCTGTGTATTTCTGAAACAGTGCTATTAAGATAGTCATGGTTTGATAAAAGTCCAATTTACTGACTTTTCCCCTTTTTCAAGATCAACCTTCTATATAGTAAAAAACAATATTGAAAACTACTTTTGTGATAATGAATGTTCTGGAGACTCACATCGTGACTGTCTTCTACTGAAAATGATGTCAACTTAAGTATCCCACCTACAGTGTTCTGTACATTTAGTTTAAGTTTCTTGTCTGCTTATATCTAAATGTCACCAAGAGCTTTTGTTTACACCCTAAAGAGATTGAAAACACAACTGCACCCAGAATAGATTTTTAGGGAGGACAAGAGGTGATGGAAACTTAACAAGCAAAATGAACAGAAAATTGGTAGGAGAAGGATCTCTTACATACACAGGATTCTTCTATGGATCTGGGGTTATTGGAATCTTGGATAATATTCTACTATAGTTGTGTTTTACCAAAAAAAGCTGTAAAAATATTTGCAAGTCATAAAGGAAGAATCATATCATGCTTTGGTGGCCTGAAGTGGTTTTTAAGCAGAGCTCAGAATAATAAAACAGAAAGACAAAGGATAGAAAAGTTATTTTCTTGCCTAATCACAATTAGTGGCCTCACAAAGTGAAAAATGAGAAGGAAATGTTATACTTTCTGTCTATAACTTTTCATAAAACCCATTTTTAATTAAAATGAAAATCATATTTTAGAATACTGACTGTGCCATTATTAAACTCAGATATTACCTGAAGCCTCAAATATCACTTCTGGGTCCCTGTTTTGTTCTAATATTCTTTTTGTTTTAGACAGGGTCTCATTTTGTAGTTGAAACTGACCTGGAACTCACTATGTAGTCCAGGGTGGTCTAAAAATCAGAGCAATCCTCCTGCCTCAGCTTCACAAGTGCTGGGATTACAGATGTGTACCACCACGCCCAGCTTGTTCTAATATTCTGTGCATGTGAGATGAATAGTCTTTTTTTCACCTTTTTCTTTTTCTACTCATAAAGCAGACTTTGTGTCCAGTGCTTCTGTTTCATAGAAAGATGAGAGCTGATCATTTTAAGGTGAAGCTGTCATTAAAAATGCAGTTGGACAGCTTTTCCAATAACTGAGTTATCCTGACTTCTGCACATTTAGTACGACTATTATATCAGGGAGCAAGTTCGCAGATAACAGCCTCAGCCTTAACTGTTGAGAGCTGTGTGACAAATATTGAACGGCATGCGAGTTACACATTGGAACTGTTCGTGTCACTTGTAGGAAGACGCTCATCCCGTGAACCCTGGATTACGGCTGCTGGGAGGGGTCACCGTCTATCTGCTCTCTTGTCCGGACTCTCTGGGCTTGGAGACCATTGTCAGACTGCAGTGTTTTGGCAGGTGAATATCATGCCAGTCGTTTATGTGGAAATCCATGTCGATCACCCTACTGCTTTCAACATTTCAGTTTGATGTGAAGTGAAAACAACTTCAATGAATATCTACTATCAAGTTAGCACGTGAGGGTGCAATGCAGAGGTTTCTTTTTTAACAGAAGGTGTATTAAGTAAAAAATGTAAATTCACCATAAGCCATTGACACGATATGAACATTTTTGTGTGAATTCTGGACCAAGCCCTGTTCATGGGTATCCGTCCAGATTCTTGTTCTTATGCAGAAATCCGTAAAAATATACAAAACTGCACAATTCTAAAAATCAGCCTCTGAATATTTTCCATTTATTTATTATATAAAATATACCCATACATTACACGTAAACTCACATGTTTTTACTTTGATCAGTGCTCAGTACTTTCTAAAATAATGAAACTCTTCTTTCTGCCACCTCCAGGAGGCCCTGCAAGCAGCGCCGTGGCCCCGTACTCACTGTAGCAACAGGAGCCCTGCTTTCAGCTGCTGTCTGTGCTTCAGGGCCACACAGGAAGGGACTCAGCATCAAACGGAGTGTGCACCCCACAAATTGCAGAAATAATATTCTTGATCCGAGTGTGGGTATTTAAAATGAGGTAACTTCATACAGTCTCATATTTGTGTTTGAGTAAATGCCTTCACATTTTTTTCAAAGTTCCTAAATATATTTATTAGTAAGTGAAGGTAAAACAGCTGCACCGTTTCCTTTGTTTATTCTTCTATCTGGGATGTGAGTTCACTGTTTTAACTCCTTTGTTTCTCTTCAGTGTCAACTGCCAACCTCTCCTGTAACCCCGCCCACTTCAAACCGGAAACTCCCCTACGTGCACCGGAACTCCTGCCCTTTCTCTGTACTGATAAGCAGGTGCTGCCTTGTGGACTGGGTTCCTGCATACCCTCATTGTAAAGCAATCCACAACAACTGGATTTTTATGGGTGCATTTTATTTGACTAAATCTTTATGTATTCCATAATATTTTCCCATGTATAATTGAATAAATGGATAGAAAAAAGATAATTTTGCACACCTTCTTTTGGAACCGTAGTTGTAGTTTAAAACAGGATTTTAAAGTTTTGTGGCATAAGGGGATGACAGATGACTTCTAGCTTTGGAATTATGCTATTTTCTGAGAAACTTCAGAGCCTCATGGATGGACACTGATAGGTGTAGTCTAAAGGATCATGTAGCTACAGATGCTATCAGGAAACTACCTCAGAAAGATAAAAAAGAGATGACCTTAATATGCAGCTTCTCTCTAGGGCCAGTGAGAGTACTGGTTATCCTTACACATAAAGGTTAAAATTAAAATACACGAAGTGACAAAAGGTAGAGTCTAAAAGGAGAGAAAACTCCTTTTGAACACGACAAATAAAATAGAGATTTCCACCTTCTTAAAAAACTGTAGAATAAATTTTATACTTAACTGCATGAGTGACAAAATTTAGAAAACTGTCTTTGCAAACATGTGCTATCAGTTCTTGGGATCTCTCTGAGTCCAGCATCTCTCCAGGCTGAGTTCACTGTGCACTTGTGTAGGAATGGGCGTACATCATCACGCCTGTCACCTCCGCGTCCCTCGGAAGCTCAGCAGAATTACTTCTCCCGAAATAAAAATAGTCTCACTCTTTACAACTGAATCATTTCAAGAATTTTTTATATTTTAAGGCTCACAATGAACTTATTTTTAGTGGAGAGGAAAGATGCTACTGATTAGATGTTAAGAGGAAACTGGGAGGATGGAAAATTTAGATACAATTTACATCACTGTGATTTTCTACAGCAAAGACTGAGCACGAATCTTTCAATAAAACCCTAGAACCTAGGACAACTGAGAACCATGCAGGTGTATTTAGTTATTGGAACTGAGGGCCACATTACATTAATTCTGGAAATATGAGCATCTGTAGCGAGTTGGTGGCTATCAGGACTTTGGCATGTTGTCTTTATCCTGCTCTCTTATAAACCAAACCCACTCATGCAATATCTTGCTTAAAGCAAGGAAACGTCTGACTATTATGTCTGCAATAAATATGAAGAATACAGAACACAAAGATGTGAGCTAATTACTTCTTCCTCGCTCTGAGCAACAAGGAGATTTTTCACACTATTTAATGTGTTTACTCCAGTTTCTTTTTTAACTTCTTGTTCAGTGTAGTGATCATCTTTATTACTTTAGAAATTATACATTGCTGGATGAAACACATCGATTCTCACTACAGGGCTTCCAAGATTAGCCATTTGGCTATGCTACATGTGGTGCTTGATCTACAGTCCAAATCAGTGTTCAGAAAGGTCAATATAGTGGCTGATTCTGGGTCAGGCAATGCCAAAAGCTGCTATTATGCTGAGAATGTAGTTCATCATTTAGCTCTAATATTAGAAGCTTCTGTGATTCTCCTGGCTTTAGTTAAAATGATTGGGATTAGTTATACAAATAAGAATAATATAATTATTCATCTGAAATTGACCATAACTCTACAGCTATAACATATTTAATATAATTAATTAGTTGAGCACAGGGACATCTTGAAAAAAACAGCAATTTTCCATTTGGCTGAGGAACTTTTGTCTTCATGGATCAATGGCCATGAAAGTGTGGTTGTCAAGGCAACCCCTCAGAGCATCTGCTAAGCAATACAGTTTCAAAAGCATGGAAACAAATGAAAGCCCCAATAGGGTTACACCTATACCATGGATAAAATTGACTGCTGATTGCAATATTATGGCTGTAACTGCAAAATAGCTATGTCACTATAAACAAACTGTACAAAGAAACCATTCTTATCTCTGTATTTTAAATCTTCTATACTTTCTCTCAGAAATGTCCTACATCACCTTACATCTATTTGTCCAAGAAAGCCAGCTTAAATGACAGCGCCTCAGTGATCTTCACGCCTTCTCTGTATTTGAATGCAATTTTTTAGCAGTACCAGTACCATTCCTGGCATATTGCTTTGCATTAAAAGTTAATAAATATCTATCTTCTAGGGAGAAAAAATGTCTTTTGTGAACCTGACTTTTGGTGATAGAACAACACTGGCTCCAAGTGTGTGTTCAATTAGCAATCTGACAAAAAAAATAGTATTGTTGCTCTTACACACACTTTGAGAATTGTTTTCATTCACACAACCCATCCATCGCTCTATGTCCAATGGAAAGATTACCACAGCTCATAATCCTGCTATCCTATCAATGACAGCCTATAAATGCTAGTCACATTGTAAAAAACTTTCAAAATATTTTAGAGTAGGCTGCACTGAATAACAGAAGAAATCAGTTAACTAAACCAATGTGAACATGTTGGATTGCATTGGATTAATTGTTGTTAAGAGTGTAAAATTGGACCAAAAGGATACAATAAAGTATTAAAGAGCAAAAAGCTGATATGTTCACTTTTTGGACTGTTTCTATTTAATCCCATTTGTAATTCAAAACTATATTGCAGCGACATAAAAACATAAGTGCTTTACAATGCAATTTTGAAATTGTATTTTGAGGGCCATAAAATGAGATTAGAATGAGGAAATAGATAGTCAAACATTAATGCCAATATTGAATTACTCTCCATGAGACATTTGGGGAAGACAGTGAGGATAAGATGTGTCAAATATTTCAAGATTTTATTGTTCATTTCTATTTTTTTTATTCTACCTGTACTAATTTTATTTATAGTCATCTAAAACCTCTAGAGAGGATGTCACATAAAATTATCTGTTTAGGGGATATTGTAAAAACTATCTTAAGGACAAAAAGTACTCCTTTTTTACTTTTTTTTAAAAAATAAGAACTTTTAAAGCTCCGTAATTAATACAAACTATTAATATTCATTTATAGATGTTAAAAAATACTTTGATTATTATAAGATAAATGCCTAAAAGCTAGACGCAACTATTTTGGTAATGATGTTTTTCTTAGATTTTTATATTCCTAATACAACAAAATGTGTAATTGCTTATACATTTTTAGATAGGTATGTATCCAATATTCATATTTGTGTAAATTTTGGTAAATTTAGCACATAAAGTAAATATTACTCACTGTGTAGTTCAGCTTGTCCTTGAATTTACTGGTTAGCCCAGGCTAGCCTCGAACTCACTGTAATCCTCCTGCCTCAGCCTCCCAAGTGCTGGGATTACAGGCATGCGCTACCATGCCCATTTTTAGATTTTTTAGTCTTTTATATGTCACCGTTCAATACACACTGCTAGTTACCTGGAACCTAAATTCATCACATCTAGTGTTTTACAAGTGTCGAGACAACTTAGCTATTTATTCAAATGTGTACAAGTAGATAACAGCTACTAATTTCCAAAGAAATTTTATGTATTAAATGTTCATTGCTTTTTTAAGAGAAAATTAATGTTGTAATTACATTTTTGTTGCACTAGTCACATCACCTAACATACTTTATTGACCACTTGCAACACTGGCAGTGAAGAATATTGCCAGTGATAAACTGAGTGGTCCCTACCAAATAATTTTTGTCTCATCTCTGAAATTGATTATTTTTGCAAAAATAAGATCTACCTATGAGATGTTATTTAATATTCATAAACAAATATAATATCAGAACAAATACATTCATGAGCAGAAGCAAAGATACCCTGGGATGACAACGGTAACACCGACCATGGAAAGGTTTGGAAGTTCAAGGCTTTCCTATAGTTTGGAGGCAATGTCTACCCAGAACAGACACCAAGATGATGGGCATAACTTATACTCAGAGCATCCACAGGTAAAACTACCTGAAGCTTTTGCTCTATGTCTGTACTCCTGAGATGCAGGTAATATATATTTCCTGTCATTCCCTTTAAAAGTTGCAGAACAAAATGATTCCAGTTTTCATGAGCAAGGCGACACTAGGACACTAGGTTAAGAGTCACTGTTCATTTCAACAGCCACGAGTACCCAAGTGTTCCCTGGTCATCCTGTTACCAGCTTCAGTGCTGCTCACATCCTGGCTGTATTCACACAGCACAAAGATGTGGGAGCAGAAATTAGAGGACAAGTTTGGCTTCACTCACAGACGCAGTGACTAAGAATTGAGTAACACTAACAGTTCTGCTCTCGTACGTTCCATATGCATATTCTTTCCTTTGTGTTCACTACATTTATTAATGCAAACTCAGAATAAGAGAGACATGAAAGTGTGACATTTCTAAATTTTCAAATCAGAAATTCCAATAACATATTCTCTCTTGTATTTTCTCAGCTTCTGTTTGAGAGACTCCTAGACTGATGCCTATGCCTTTAAATCTCTCAATTTGGATAAAATAACTGTGTGGACCAATGCAAGAGATCTTTCCTGTGTTCTACTTTGGCTACATTATACTCAGAAGCACATGCATATATCCAAAAACTTTTTCAACCATTTAGATTGTGGGCCCATCCACAGAATATTTCAGTTCTAATCCTAGTTCTATTATTTGTCAGCTGCAGTTAGGTGAATGCATGCAGAGAAACCATTTGTCAACATTCAATATTAATTCATGATAAAATCTATTAATGTCAAAGGAACAAAACAGCACTTCCTAAATTTGATAAATGGCATTTTCAAAAAAAATTCATTAGAGTGAAAAAATAATGTATCTTAGGTTCAGAGATAAGACAAAGATGTCTACACTTAACTATTTCTATTTGTTATTATCAGATTATACTACATTTATAAATTTAAGCACAGAATTCTAAGAAGAATGGATATTACCCTTATAAATCATAAGCAATAATTTCACAAGAAGAAAACAGAAACACTAAGTGAATCAGGCAGTGTTCATCAGGAAAGCAAATTTAATATAAGATACATAGGTATATAAGGATTTATAAGGTAGGCTCACAGTGGCCTCCCACACAGTTAGGCATGGAAGAGAGCACACTGCAGATTCGAAGGATCCAGTTGAAGGCTGAAGGCCTGGAGCTCACTGTGGTACCCCGCGAGAGTACCTTTCAGGAAGCTGAAAGGGCTGCACTGGAAGGTGAAGACAAGACTAGAGCTGCTCCAAAGAAACAGCAGAAAGACTTCCTTCTTCCTTTCCCTTTTGCTTTCATTCAAACTACAAGCCTATTGGCTGGTGCCACTCACACCTAGGACGGGTCCTCTGTCTTCAGGGACTCCACCCAGCCACACCCAGATCTATGCTAATGCAACCAGCCTGGCAGTTCTTACTTAAGTAGACACAACAGCTAATTATCGCACTGAGAAAAATATGTCTTTAAATAGAAGGTATAATCGATTTGGATTTGTGAAAAATTGCGTTCTCATGTAGAGCCACTGTTAGGAAAATTAATAACAAGCAAGAGAATGTTAGAAAATACTCACATCCATACATCTCAGAGAGGATTGGCTGGTCCCTAATAAAAATTTAGAAAACAGCACAATGAAAATGGAAATACTGGTAGCTTCTTGCGACACTCTGGTGGGCCAACCAGTGCAGAGCAACAGAGGAGCACGGAAGCAGTGTGAGGTCAGCTGGTAGGCCTACCCCTTCGGCCCAGCACGGCAGAGGAACCCAGCCATGAGGGAGCCAACACAGTGGTGTCTGCTATTCAGAAAAGAAAGAAAGAATGGCTGCTACTCAGAAATCAACCAATAGCAGACGTTGGTGTAGGAACCAAGTTTTCTGATCAAGGTGGTCTCCC